AGGCTTACCAGGACTCCTTTTGATATTCACAGGGTTAATATCTACATTTTATTACCTGCTGCTGACTCAATGGCCTAAAGCAAACTCCCCCCAAACCTGACAATCTTACTGTTTACTAAACATTACCATTGATATGTCTGTTTGCATTCCTAAAAGGCAATTGTGTATTCTAGTAAATAAAAGCAGTTGGGAAGGAGACTCAGCAAGAACTTGACTGCTATGGTCGAGTTTTCCTCTGGTTTCCCCCGGTATCAAAATTAATATTTCGTCTTGTGTGTCATTTGTGCATCAGCTCTTCCTCCAAGCCTTTGAACCCTGAAAGCCATGCTGGCCGTGGACTTTCACAGAAACATGGAACACACTGACAAATCTCAGAGGGAAGGGTAGAGGGGAGGCAGGAAGAGACTAACCACAGATCTTATATGTATAATGCATTACCTATGGACACAGACAAGAGGGTGGTGAAGACCTGGGGTGGGGCAGGAACCAGATGGAGGAGGGCAAGGGGGGAAAAAGAGAGACATCTGTAATACTCTCAACAATAAATATTTTTTTAAAAAAGAAATAAGTTCAGAAATAATGCTAAGATAGACTCCAAATCTGTGATGCTCCTTGTCTTGTTCCACTCACAGGTGCTCACAAGCAATAAAGAAGTAACTCACTGAACAAGATAATGGAGAATAAAAAAAGCAAGTGTCATACAAAAGAAGTGACATTACCAAGACATTATCATTTAGGCTTTACCTGGGCACACTGAAAGGTATCCATGTTCTAACTAGAGTCTAAACCAGTGGTGGTGAACCTTCTGAGCTCGGCGTGTCAGCATTTTGAAAAACCCTAACTTAACTCTGGTGCCGTGTCACATATAGAAATTTTTTGATATTTGCAACCATAGTAAAACAAAGATTTATATTTTGATATTTATTTTTTATATTTAAATGCCATTTAACAAAGAAAAATCAATCAAAAAAATGAGTGTCATAGGTTCGCCATCCCTGATCTAGGGCATAGTCCCTGTCCCTGAGAAGCAGCTAGTCAGGTAGTTGAGAGAAGACTAACATGAACTTGAGAACCGGAAAGCAGGACGGTGTGACTCAGACTGTGCAGTAAAATCAATCAAAAAAATGAGTTCGCGTGTCACCTCTGACATGCGTGCCATAGGTTCGCCATCACTGGTCTAAACAGTTGTATGAACCAAAATCGTATTTACATTTAAAAATCTAAATCTAGTAAAGACTCCAAAAGAAAAAAAAAAGACTCTGTCAACTTTAACAATGCCTCCTAGTCATCTAGAAGAAAATGTATTGCTATACACTGTCTAATCCTAAGATTGCTGATCCTTAAGTTTCAAGTCTATATACAACTGCCTATTTGACATTGCTACCTAGATGTCTACTAAGCATCTTCAACTAAACATCTCCAAAATAGAATTCTTGATTTCCACCTCTTGCTCAACCTTTTTCCTCCTTTGGTCTTTCTCACCTCCGTCAATGGCTTTGGCATCCACACAACTGTGTGGTACCAAAGCTGGTGGTTCTCCTTGAGTCCTTTTCCCCTCACTGCTTCGAGTCAATGCGCCCAATCTGATCTACTCACAAGTTCTATCGGCTCAACCTTCACAATGTGTCTCAAGTCCAACATTCTCACACGCCCACCTCCGTCATGCTGGTGCTCATAATGGTTTCAACTGGTCACTCTGCTTCCACTCATACCTCTCCCTGAAATTCCTTTTCCATTTACAGCCAAAGTGATCGTTTAAAAATGTGAATGGATGTCTGACTTATTTAGCTTAGCATGATATTCTCAAGATCCATCCATGTTGTTGCAAATAGCAGTATTTCATTTTTTCTTATGGCTGAGTAGTATCCCATTGTATATATGTACCATATTTTTACCCAATCATAAACATGCTAAGTGAAACAACTCAGACAGAAAAAGTCGAGAAATATACGTGGGATATAAAATTGAGAGTAAGAAATGAACATGGTGTAGTGATTACCAGAGGGAAGGGGTTGGTGGGGTACTGAAGGATAAAAGGGGTCAAATACATGGTGATAGAAAAAGACTAGACTTTGGGTGGCAAATGCATAATCCAACATACAGGTGATGTATCACAGAAATGTACTCTTGATCCTATATAATTTTATTAACCAATGTCACCCCAACAAATTTAATTTTTATAAAAAATTGAAAAAAAGTGAATGAATGATGACTAAATGAATATGTCTCCCCTGCTTAAAAACCTCACACGGCTTCTTAATGCACCTGAAATAAAAAGTGCACTGTTCACTTGGTCTGTAAGACCCTAGGATGTGTCAGGCTCCATGACCCCACATAACCAGGCTCCAGCCCACTCCTTTACCTACCCTTTCACGCCACCCCCTCCTCCCCTTTTCCCTGGGTGACAACCAGCTAAATGCCTCTCTCTTCCAAGCCTGATTTTGTCTCAGGACCTTGTGGTGTTTCTCCCTCAGAGAGTCTGAAGCCCCTTCCCCTAGGTCTTTGTACAGATGGCTCCTTCTTGTTACCTTGGTACATTTCCTCTGCCCATTCTATCTAAAACACACACACACACAAAACTCTCGCTTTCTCATCCACCTCAGCCATTCCCGGCACTGCCCAGGGTGACAGCACTGGCCACAGGGAGGCGCTGGAGCACTGGGAACGTGACGAGGCCAACATTCATGTGATATGAGTGTAAAATCTGCAGATTTCAAAGGCTTGGGACAAAAAAATACAAAATGTTTCATTTATAATGTTTATGTTAATTTCATGTTGAAATGATATTTTGGTTATACTGGGTTAAATAAAATATGTTATAATTTACACAATTATATATTATATTCTTTTTACAAATGTGACTTGTAGAAAATTTAAATTATCTATTTGGGTCACGTGTAGCTCATTTTATATTTCTATTGGATACCACTGCTCGATTCCATTTTGCCATTTCCTTGTTTTTGTTGCTCTTATCTGAAATCATCTTTTTTGTTTACTCATTGGCTATTTTCCCCGTTAGAATGTAATTCCAGGAGAGTAGGGACCTTCGGTGTTTTTCCATTGCTATATCCCAACTATTAGAACACTACCTGGCACAAAGAAGGCACTCAATGGATATTTATTAAATGAATGAATCAACAAGTAAAGGCTCCCTAGTCTTTTCGTCCTGGCCTTTCCATATGTGTAATAACAGCAGTTATCAAAGTACTCAGAATATTCTACACTGCAGGGGAAGAAACAAGAGGCCAGTATTTTCATGAATTATTATTTTAACTTACTCTCTCCTATTGGGTTTTAAGATCTTGAAGGAAGGGACTATTGTTCCTGAATCTCTATACTACCTTCTTGATCAGCAGAGCACTTTAGTAAAAACATCAGTGACAATAAAATCACCATAATCACAAAGCTATCACATTTTGCATCCTTACTATGTAACAGGCATTGTATTAATTATGTCATTTATAACATCTACAAGTTAGGAATTCTTGTTTCCATTTTTAGGATGAGGAAACTGAGGGTTAGTAAATGTAACTGTCTTAAGATCAACTAGCCATCTGGTATAGACATTCAAATCCAGGTCATTCTGACATCACACGCCTTGCAAACTCTGAATCACCGTGTTCACAATACAACATGCGCTCAAAAAACTGCAGAGTCGCCGAATAACACTACAAATCACTCCCAGTGTAAAAAAGGAACCACACTGATGATAATAAAAAATTATGGTGATATTTTCCAGAAAAAAAGCAAGTGATTCATGGCCCACGGTGGGTTTCAATCTTGGCGTCTTCTGGGTGGCCGAGTCATACCTGACTTCCAGATGCAGCACCAGCAGGCAGCGGTCGGCCATGTCCTGGAAAGATCTGGCAAGCTCACTCAGGGTCTGCATGATCTGTTCCGACACCGGGGGCAGATCCATGTTTGTGTGACCATCTTGAGCAGGAGAAAGCACTGGAGAAAGGGAGGAGGACAAACACCAATCATTTCACTACATGCCTACTGGGTTTTGAAATGACATGTAATTTTGTTGTTCATCATGTTGCTTTTACCAATTTGGCTAATGCTAGTGTTGGCAGCATTAGACGTCCAAGACAGGATAGACTATTTCTGTCCTTGATTAAACACAGAAGCCCAGATGATTGAATCTGTTTGCAGAATGACAAAAAACAGACCTTCAGAGTTGGGAGTGACCTCAACAGTCATCTGGCCCAACCACGTGGTCTATGCTTATGTCATTTACACATCTGCAGGTGGCTGTTGTTTCGGGTCGCACACCCACACAAATGTTTGTGAAAGGGCTCTCAACACCTTCTGAGGCAGTCGAGCCAATCTCTGAAGGATCTGACCATCCTACATCAAGTCATATCTGTCTGCCCTGATCTTGCCAACTTTGCAGTCATTCTCGTATGTGTCAGCACGTCAAGTATTAGAGACATTGCCTTTGGCTTCCTTGAAGTCTTCCCTTTTCCAGGCTAAATGTCCGTCCCCCGTTTTTTAATGATTCTGTAAGTAAGTGAATTGAATAACTTTACAGTTCTCATACTTCACCAATAAAAACATCCCGGTTATTCTGTATCTCCCTTGAAATGTGGAATGCAGGACCACACACAATAAATACTGCAGAAGGAAAAAATACACTGGGGTCTGGCCTGTCTAGAGAGCGCTATCTCCTCCTTCCATGTAGATGCCACATTGCTTGCACATAAGGCTAAGGTGTTCAGGGGGCGGGCCGTGGTTTTATGTTCTACTTGAACTCATATAGAGCTCACAGTCAACTAAAAGTCCTACACAGGTCTTTTTGGAAAATTTTATAAAGCTAACTTTTATATCTTTCCCAAGTAATTGACACAATATTCAACAGCACTTGGACATTGCCTTCAGGAAAAGACTGAGCAGCAGAAATGTGAACTATATTTGTTTATGTCTAGGTTTCTGTTATGTACCCAGTTTCCCATAATCTCTCAAAGACTGCCAACAGTAATTTCACAATTTCATTCAAAAGATCTTTTAGTTCTCTAGAGCCTCAAAGACTAGCCCTAAGTCCTGTCCCCATTACTTACTATGTGGAAACCGAGGGTTAGTAAATGTAACTAACTGTCTTATAATTAAGAGGTAATTACTTAAATTCTGTCGGCCTGTTTCTTTTTCTATAATATGGAGATAATAGTACCTAGAGCATGAGGTTGTTGGGAGTATTGAATAGATTAATGTAGATAAAACTCTTCGACCAATAGCACATAAAACTCACTCAATATTAGCATAAATAATAAACACAAATAATAAGTATTCATTAGCATTTGATTTGTCTCGGTTAAGAAGCTTAATATAGCAACACATTACTTAAAAGCTAATTCTAGTTCGACCAATAGCACATAAAACTCACTCAATATTGACATAAATAATAAACACAAATAGTAAGTATTCATTAGCATTTGATTTGTCCCGGTTAAGAAGCTTAATTATAGCAACGCGTTACTTAAAAGCTAATTCTATCCATCTTGAAGTCCAATTTCCATTTATCAGTTATTTTTGCTTTTCCATCTGAGAATTCTTCTCCTGATGGGAGGACGCAATGTCCTTTGGATGTGGCCAGGCACTACTGACTAAATGCCAGGAGATGTTCACCTTCAGGGTAGGGGGTCAACATCTGGCTGCATCTGCATCTACAGTTATGGACTGTCAGGGCTGCATGGATGCCTAGATTCTGGCCAAGCCCGGAGAAGGGACCAGAGAGATAGTCAAGACTTAGAAGGATAGTTCTTCCCTATGGAACCAGACTTTAATAAATTATCACAGCAAACATGAAAAAAAGACTTTGTTTAAAGGAACTGATGTATAGGAGGAAGGGAGTGTAGCAAAGTAGACTTAAAATTATTTCCAGCCACGGCATCATCTAAGGTGAACAGAGCTGGATCTGCAGGAGGCTCCATGCGAGGCAGAGCCACTCTCCTGTACTGTGAGCATGACTTATGTTCTCTCATCGCCAGGAGAGATCACTGCCTTCAGGTCTTCATTTGGCAGCTGGGGTGAAAGCAACCACAAGCAACACTGATGGAGTATTTCAAAGCATTTTAGGGCTTTTGAGCTCCTGGATTCCTCTGCTGTGTGACACTAACTGTGGCAGAGAGCTACTATGTATCTATGAAAAGAGGTAGAAATCAGATCCTGAAGAAATCGGACTCATGGTCTGAGGTTCAAAGTTCTACAGTGGTTTCCCCTCATCGGCAGGGGACACGTTCCAAGACTCCCAGCAGATGCCTCAAACCATGAATGGTACCCTACACAGACCTTGTTTTTTCCTATACATATACACCTTTTCACTTAAAGGAAGCACTGTACAGCTTCTCTTTTGTATCCAAATTACCAGCATCTTCCACTACTCTTGTGTTTGGGGGCCATTACTAAGTAAAATTAGGGTGACTGGAACCAGGCACTGTGACACCACAACAGCGGATCTGTAAGGGCTACTTACCAAGTGACTAATGGGAGGGTAGCACATACATTGGCTGAACCAAGGGATGAGTCACATCCCAGGCAGGACAGAACAGGGTGCTGAGATTTCATCATCCTACTCAGAACAGTGTGCACTTTAAAACTTATGAATTGTTTCTGGAATTTTCTATTTAATGCTTTTGGATTGCAGTTGCCTGCAGGTAACTGAAACCATGGAAAGCAAAACCAGAGATAAGGGTGGACAGACTACTGTACTAATATCCCAAAGTCTATCAGAGGCATTCTGGGCAAATTCCACCAAGAAAGTAAAAAACAACAACAACTACTTTATTATAAAAATATATAATTTCATTATGTGTAGCAACCGAACATTGCCAAACTGTGCCATTAAAAAAACCCCAAGCAGCCATGGCTGGTGTTGCTGAATAGTTAGAGCATCAACCTGAGCATTGGAGGGTCAAGGTTTGATTCCCAGTCAAGGGGACGTGCCTGGGTTTCAGGTTCAATCCCTAGCCCTGGTCGGGGGAGGAGGGGCATACAGGAGGACACCACTCATTGTCTCTCTCTCACATCAATATTTCTCTTTGTCTCCCTTTGCTCTCCCCTCCCTTCCACTCTCTCTAAAAATCAATGGAACAAATATCCTCACTCCTTTGGTGAGGATTTAAAAAAACACACCAAAAAGACAAGTACAGTAACTTAATGGCAAGATAAAACTTGCAACAAGTGAGGTAAAAACAGTTTAGATAGCAGCACACTGCACATTTCACTTGACTGTAATCTATAGCAAAAAGATAACACTTTAGTAAAGCAACATGAAAAATCATGCCCAGAGTTCTACTGAAAAGCTGGCTTGAGAATTCTTGAGGGCTCACTGAAGTTTACGAAGTTTTCTTAACAAGAAGGAGTACACTGAGCAAAGAAATGCTGAGAATGGCAAACAATGACAACACAAACAACCAATGAGCTCTTAAATGTCAAATGGAAATCTGCAAAAAAGCAAGGCTGACAGAATCTGCTGTTTGGGAGATTATAGTCAAGATAGGTTACTACACACACACACACACACACACACACACACACACACACACACCCTTTTAGAGGCTCCGTGGTGTATATTTATCTTGGGGATTGCTTCGTTTCGGCAGAACACATATTGTGGGCTTTAAAACTATTAGCACTCAATCATTTTATTAAGGTATGCACTTTAAGCTGTTTTTCTGACACTGGGGCTGGGCCACATCAGATCATTCACAACATGCTTGTTCCTCTTATAGCCTTTGCATAAAAGCAGGCATCTCTGAGACTCCTAGCTAACCGTCTGCATGGCAATGTAGCTGGGCTTTCTATGCTAAACTGATTGGTTTATGAGGAAGCTGAATCTTGATCTCAGGGGCAAACCCTGCTTATTAGATAAACCAACAGATACTTCCAACTTTCCTTTGTTCATTCCACTAGAGACTGGAAATCTAGAAGTCTGCCTTCCCAGCCTAGCTTAGTGGTTAGAGATGGCTATGTGTCACCGTATGGCCAATGATCCTGTAAGCTAGAGGTTCTCAACCTGTGGGTTGCGACCCCTTTGGCGGTTGAACGACCCTTTCACAGGGGTCACCTAAGACCATCCTGCATATCAGATATTTACATTACGATTCATAACAGTAGCAACATTACAGTTATGAAGTAGCGATGAAAATAATTTTATGCTTGGGTCACAACATGAGGAACTGTATTTAAAGGGCCAGAAGGCTGAGAACCACTGCGTATAAGCAAATTTTTCTTTGGCAACTTGACCTAACTATGGCTCATTCTATGGCTCACCTTTTGACAGGGAAGCGAAACAACCCTAAAGCATTGATTGCTTTCCCTAAAATTTTCTAGGTTTTATGCTCAAAAGCATCTTCAATACCACATGTTCATCCTTCCCTAGTGCTTGGCCAGCTCCTTTCCCTTTCTCAGCAACTTCCCCCAATTCATGTTGCTCTCCCAGACTCTTTGTCCTTCCTACTCTCCATTACTCCTCTCTTGAGGACCTCACATTCTTATTAAGACTTCAAAAAAAATTCTCAACACTTGCTTTCTCCATAGTCTTGCTTCCCACTAAGTCTTTGATGTGCCATAATTTGATTTCTGCCTTTGACGCTTTGTTAAATAATTATTCCGAGGATCATCACCAATGATAGCCTATTGCCAACTCTATTGGGCGTTTCCCAGTATTAATCTCATTCAACATGGAAAGGCCATTTCCTCCTTGAAATTCTGTTTTCTTTTGCCTCTATGGCACCCTGTTCTTCAGGGTTTCCTTTCACAGCTCTGACACTCTTTTCATAGTTCCCTTCACTGGCTATTCTTCCTTTAGCCCACCCATAAATGCTGGTGTTCCCGAAGACTTTTTTCTATCAGTCGCTCTCATTTGTCATTCTATCTGTTCTCTCTGAGTGAGCTCATCCATTTTCATGGTTTTCGCTATTATCTAAGAATTGATGATTCCTAAATTTTAT